AGTGCACATATAATGTACCAAGTAGATGAAACTGCATGAGTGGACATTTAGTAAGGTGGAAAGATGTAGAGCAGGGAAGTATTCTGTAGACTTGTGATTAGGTCTCAGTCTGTTAGTGAGCCTGTGTCTCCGTACTGTGAACTGTGAAAATGCTTCTCAGTCCCTCCCACCTCCCTTAGGTGCTTGCCTGTCTGTCTTTTCAATTCTGGGGGCAGTGATTCCTTCTGTGACTTGACTTCTCTGGTGGATCAAATAATTGTTGATTTTTTTCAGTTCGTTCATCTTTTTACCTGTGTTAGGAAAGAGTAATGACTTCTAAGTGTTTTATATGATCTACTGGAAACTGGAATTATTGGCATGAATTTTAATACATGTATTGGATTCAAATTGCTAATAATTCATTTAGGTTATGTATCAATGTGTCAAAGTTGACAAGTGATCTAGCCAAAAATTTCTCTTGTACTGTCTTTATCTGTTTTTGCTATCAAAATTAAATTAGCCCCATAAAATAGGTTGAACAGCTTTCCTTATTTTCTATTTTCTGTAACAATTTGAATAACATAGGAGTTTTTTTTTTTTTTTTTTTGAGGGGTCCAGTTATAAAACAGTTGGGCCTGGGCTTTATTTATTTATTTATTTATTTATTTTGAGAGCATGGAGGTACAAATAAGTTTTTAAGTCTTATTTCAACATTTTAAATGGTTACAATAACATTTTAAAGGATTATAGTTCAGGGCTTTTTTTGCTGGATATTTGTTTATTTTTTTATTTAAGATTGGAAGTTGCTATGTTACCCAGGCTGGCCTCAACCTCATGATCCTCCAGCCTCAGCCTCCCAAGTAGCTACAGGCATGCACCACAATACCTGGCTACAGTTTAGCTTTTAAAAAGTTTCTTCTGGTGCTAATTTTAACATTTTGAATTTTTCACAATGTTATTAATCTCATCTAGATTGTAAAGTTTGCCAGGGGAAAATATGTTTACCAATGTTTTATTTGCCCCTCTCCCTCTCTCTCTTTCATCCAGTTGATTTGATCAGAGGTTTATCTATCTCTTTATCTTGTCGACAAGAGGTATTAGGTTTTATCAACTATTTTTATTGGGCTTTAAAATATTATTGTTACTGCCTATTTTGGTTTTCATTAGGGAGTATGTTTTACTGTCTTGGATTGATGGGCAGAGTTGTTCTTTTTATCTGGGGAGAGGAACAAAAGCTTAACTGTAGCTCATGGTTCTCCAGGTAAGTTTAGGAAGTTTCAGGGCGAAAGCTGCAGTCTAGAGACCCAGTAGTAACACACCTGTTCTCAGATTCCTGATTCATGCACGGCACCCCCAGAACCTGTCAGTGCTTTTATGGCAAGCACTGCTTTTCATGAGGAGGTAGGCTGTGGCTCTAACTGCTAGGCCCATTTATGAATGTACCAACCTCTGACTCCTATAATTTAAGGAGCTCTTGAGCACAGGCACTAGGTCTCTGCAATATTAAACAAATTTTATTTATTCTCCCCCACTGCTAGTTCTTCCTTTAAACTTAAAGCTTGCTCAATTCTCACTTTATAAAAACTCTCACACTTGCACACCTGCGCTCGCTTACCTGGCTAACACCAATTTGCTTCTTCATACTCGGTAAGCCCATGCTTTGGTTCTTTGTTTCTAGCACTCCTGTGCACGGCTCCGACCTCACACTTATACTGACTACAGTTAACTTGTTTTTACATCCATCTCTTCTTCTACTTGGTAAAGGTACCTTGAGAACCTCGACCTTGCATTTGGTGTTTTTTTTTTTTTAACCTATGGCTGAATTTAATTTACCTTATATAATATATACTCGGTAAATGACTGTTGAAGGAATAAAGCAGAGGTGCACTCTAACATGAGGAAATGTGTCACTTTGGGAAGTTGTCACCAAATTTCAATAAGGACACTAGAATGGGACCATTACATTTATCAGGTTTATAACCTCAAGGATAATCTGCAATGAGATTTGGAAAGTAAGGTATTCTAATATATTACATTTTGAAAACATCAGTTCAGTATCACAGCATTGACTTTTAAAATTGCATGAGCAATACTTACCCATGGAAGGAAAAAAAATTAAATATAAAAAGTAAAAGGGGAAAAAAGTCACCTGTAATCCCATGATGCAAGGATGACCCTCTGTGAGCATTTTCTTATTTTCTATTAGATTTTCCTTTTACTATGCAAAAGTTATATACTCATGTAAATATATATTTTAAGTGACATTATTTTATGTATACTTTTGAAAATCTCCTTGGTCACTTACAATGTGCATCTTTCCATGTCAATAAAAATATAGTTAAGCTGGATATGGTGGCACACTCCTGTAATCCCGGTGACTGGAGAGGCTAAGACAGGAGGATCATGAGTTCAAAGCCAGCCTCTGCAAAAGTGAGGTGCTAAGCTACTCAGCAAGACCCTGTCTCTAAATAAAATACAAAATAGGGCTGGGGATGTAGCTCAGTGGTCAAGTGCCACTGAGTTCAATCCCTGGTATCCACCCATCTCCCCAAATATAGTTACAGTATTACTTTAATGCTTTTGTGGGATTAAGGTAGATAAGCATCAAGGTGTATTTAAACAGTTCATTCTCTACGATTATACATTTAGGTCATTTATAGAGTTTTGCTTCTTCAAACAATTTTCCCACAAATGTCTTTGTACTTACATTTTAAACACTTATCTGATTATTTGCTGGTCAAGAAATATGTTCATATTTAAATTTCATTATATATGGCTGAGTTGCTTTCCGGAATGTTGAATCACTTTACACACCTACCAATAGCATACAAGAGTACCTGTTCCCTATATCTCACCAAGACAGGTACACCGATTCTGTTTACTCTGTCAGTCTGATTTGGTTTCTCATGATTTTTCTTGTTTGTTTGGTACCCAGGGATGTTTTACCCTCAGTTACATTTCTAGTCCTTTTTTATTTTGCTTTGGGCCTCTCTAAATTGTTGAAATTGGACTTGAACTTGTGATCCTGCTGCTTCAGCTCCTGAGTCACTGGGATTACAGGCATGTGTCATCACACCCAGCTGGTTCCTCATGATTTTCCTCTCATTGATTGCTAGTTAAACTATACATATTTTCATTGGCTCCTTTTATTTATTTATTTATTTTTGGTACCAGGTATTAAACAAAGGGGCACTTCACCACTGAGCCACATCCTGTCCCTTTTTAAAAAAAAAAATTTAAAATTTTGAGACAGGGTCTTACTAAGTTGCCTAGGGCCTCACTAAACTGCTGAAGCTGGCCTTGAATTTGTAATTCTCCTGGGTTCAAGGCCTCAGCTCCCTGGGTCACTGGGATTACAAGTGTGTGCCATAGCACTCAGCTTTCTTTTTAGAGTGTTCATATCCCCTGATAGCTTATATATTTGAAAATAATATATAGATATCTACCTAGCTATAGATATTTTAAAAATATATAGATATCAACTCTATTTATGCTAAAAATGTACTATGTATTTTCTTCAGTTGCTATTTACTTGTTGAACTTTATTTACAGTATCTTTTTTTTTTTTTAATTTTTTCTTCCTATGCATTAAAATCAAAGTTAATCTGCTTTTTCCTTCAAGATTTCTGTTTAGGTGCCTTTCCACACGAGGCAGAGAGGACCAACAGCCTACTAAACACCTTCCCCTCATTTTCTTTAATGAGAGAACATTGATCCCTAAAAGATAGCTCTGAGCCCCCTTTTGTAGTTGGGTACAGCCAGGTAACCAATGAAGGCCAACAGGGGCAAGCCCTGCTGTGTGACATGGGGCACAGCTCAAGAGTGAGTCTGAGCCCTTCTCTCTTTCTTCTTTCTGCTGCCTACAGGGAAACAGCTAGAGCTCTAGAAACCATCTTGGACCAATTCCATCTTGAGGATCAAAGCCAAGCTTGGCTGAGGGTAAAAATGAGGAGCCCAGAGTCCTGATGTCACAAAGCTCTCACACCACCCTGGTCTATCTATCTCTGAACTCCTTTCATGTGAGAGAACAAATAAGTCACTGTAGTCACATCTTTTGTAAGAATAATTCTTATCTCCTAAGAGTGATTCCTGCCTCGTGTCAACTCAAGGTTATTTCAGTGTCTACTTGTATTTTCTTCTAGTCATCTTCATCTACGCCATTATCCTATGTTTTCATTACATGACTGAAAAGATGTATAATCAGGATTTAACAGTCTACATCAAATAATGTTTTGGTAGAAACTTCTTTGAAATGATGATTGCTAGACTTACATATGCATAGAATTATTACAGTAAATTTTAAGAGAGGATCTAATTATCGAGTTTTATTCTATGTAGGCAATTTTTTTTGAAGTTAGGCCAATAATCTTGACATGAAATCCTTTTACAAGCACATCTTGAGAAGTATCTATTTTTTTAGCAAATCATGGGATTTTTGTCTTGAGAAATTATTTTCAGAGAAGATGACTATAAGTGTGAGACTCTACATAAAGTTGGGAGATTTTTGATGAAGAAAATTGGATACACACTAAAATTTGTGTAATGAAGAGATGGAGCATAACAAGATCTTACCATAATTTCGTTACAGTCAGAACTTCATTTAAATATTATTGGTTTTAAAATGTTTTGAACATAAGTATAAAATATTTCTTATAAAACAATATTATATATTATTTTTGTTTCTGTAAATATTAGTCTAATTGAAAATTGTTAGAATTTAATTTAGTGTAACTAATATTTCCTCAATTAACATTTATTGAGCACTTGCTATGTATTGAGTCTCCCAATGACTTGCCCAACCATTAATAGAATTCCTATTTTGGAGAGGAGGAAATTGAAGAGCAGAAGTGCTAATTCACTTGTCCAAACCACTCAAAGACTGATTGGAAGAGATGGCTGTTAACTATAAAGCCTAAACTTGTGGCTACTCATGTCAGGCCCTAGGCCAGGCCTGCAGGAAAGAAGAGATAAGGAAGACACAGTTTCCCACAGGTAATAGTAAAGAAAATTTGGTACCTTACCTGAGCCACACAGGTCGGTTATATTAATGCGAGTTGGCAGGGAACTGCCTTTTGAATTGGCTGCAGACACAGCTACAGTCCAAATCCCAGTTCTGGGAATCACCCAGGTCCAGAAGTTGTGTCCTGTGATGTTCTGTAGTGTGATTTTCTTCCCTGTCACTTCTTGCAAAGTCACCTGATAGTGGAGGATTTTCCCTCTTGTCTCTGATACACTCAGATTCTGCAACAAAACACATCCATGTACTATTAACTCACAGATTAAGATCTCTGGCTGCTGTGTGCCTGGTTCTCTTGGCTCCTGCTTCAGGCAGCCAAATCTGAGTGACCTTTTCATGTGTATCTCTTCATCTCCACTGTACACTTCATGCAATGACCTATCAGCACAACTGCCATTTAAGAAAAAAAAATCAGCATCTTTAAAAAATAAATCTTCAAAACACAGCAATTTTCCTTTCTTGCATCAAAATAAAATGTACTAATGGTAAACAACTTTAACCATCCCATCGAACAAGAATGAACTCAGAAGAACTGAATCTGAATCTGAACTCCAGTTCTGTCAATCACACAGATCCTGGATGAGGCTCTTAGCAATTGTGGGCCTCTGTTGCTAAATTTATGAAACACACACATCCATACACGTATAACTTTTTATATAAGAAAGTATCATCCTGCTCAAAACACCAAACACAAGACTTTCAAGAGCTAAACCAGTAAAATCCATACTTAGTGAATTGAATTAGCCATCTGTGCTAGGAAATGAAGAAACTGTTCGTAAATATGTGACTAACAAGTTTTGGAACTGCAAAAATTCCAATTGAGATCATTTGGGAGCAATCCCAGGAAGTAAACAGAAAACTAATTATTTGTATTGTACCCCTGTTTGGACAAGGACCATGGAAAGCAGAAGCATAGAACATGGAGAGTTGTCAAGCCTAACATTGGCAGTGCCTATCCCTGCCTAGCATAGGGCAAGGAAGGCTTGGCTTGCCAGGGGTAAGTGGTAGTTTCTTGGCATAAGTATCCCTTCTGTAAGTGGGGGGTCTCCAGCTACCTCTGCTGAAAGACACATCTAGGATTGGAGAATGCCCCTCACTCAGGTTCCCTGATCAGCAAGAAAGCTAATAATTTGGTTTCCTATGAAGATTGTCTGTCAGGACAGAATAGGCAACATGAATGTCTTGTTCACTTAAAATTTGTATTTGTCACTTTAAGTGAATAAATTGGCCTTCTTATTATAATTTGGTTTCTGAAACAATTAGCATACTGGGAGAGAATGTTCCAATTTGCTGAGTCAAGCCTTCTGGTTGGCCCAACATCTGTATTCTCCCTGCAGATGAATCCATGAGCATCCAACTTTTATATTTCCATTTCTGGGAGCATGATTAATACAGATTTGTTCTGGAACCCTTTTGTGTCCATGAGGCTCAATCCTGGATCTCAAGCCTTGGTCTGCACCAAGTGGGGAACCCAGTGGGTGAACATTCAGTCTTTTTTTTTTTTTTTAAAGAGAGAGAGAGTGTGTGTGTGTGTGTGTGTGTGTGTGAGAGAGAGAGAGAGAGAGAGAGAGAGAGAGGGAGGGAGATACTTTTTTAATATTTATTTTTTTTAGTTTTCGGCGGACACAACATCTTTGTTTGTATGTGGTGCTGAGGATTGAACCCGGGCCGCACGCATGCTAGGCGAGCGTGCTACCGCTTGAGCCACATCCCCAGCCCGAACATTCAGTCTTTCTCCACGGTTAGCATTTCAGATGACCATCACAGCTGAACTCATAGCTGGCTGTGCAGATTAAAATAAGCAAGTGCTTTCTAAAGTACTATATTCTAAACTGTTATTAATAAACATGCCCATTGTCAGAGAAGAAAAACAACATAAATTAAAGCAAAAGCTTGTCAGGAAAGACCATTCCCTCAGCTATCTTTCAGTGCATCCTTCTCTGTTTCTTCTCTATAAGTCCAGAGGTAAGTGTATTACTCCCACCCTGCCCCACATTCCCTCGCCAAGGCACTTTCCAAGAGTTAACCAAGCTCACAAAATTCCCCATTCTTTCCAGGGACCCAAGGGGCTTCAGTTCTTCTCTAACAACTAAGGAAACAGAGCACCAATTTGGAAGGGAAAAAAAAGCACCTTGCAAACCAGACTTTGTTACTCTTTCACTGTCCTTCATAGACACCCCAGAAATCTCATTTGATTAAATGGTGAAATGCTGAAAGAAGGGGGTAAATGTCATCTCGGGTTCATTGAGCTTTCATAGTGACAGCCATGAAAACCCAGCAGATCATAGCCTTCTAGTCAATAGAGGTGAGACTCAGAAGGATCGCGAAGTTTCCAGAGAATAGTAAAGGGCACAGACCCTTGCATTTCTCCTCTATTTCTCATATTTTAGAGTTAAAAAGATTACGAATAGGTTGGGGTGGAGTGAAAGTAGTAGACAAGTAAATATGGCATCCTGGGGCCATACATATGGCAATACATATGGCATTATATAAATATGGCTCACATAAAATGTCAAGCTCAAGTCTGGAGATAAAGGTTACCCTCTCTTGGGTAATTGGTCTCCTTAACCAAACTGGTCCTATAGGATCCATGGAACAAAAATCTCAGTAAGCCAATAGGAAAACAGGTATTTAGCCAAGTGGGCACTTAGTCTCCCAAAGCCTCTGAAAACAATATAACTCATTTGTTTTTTAAAAAAGAAATGCAACATAAAATTTGTAAATAATGTATATAATTCCTGGATCATCATTCCTGGATCATGCTTGGCCCAGATGGAATGGAATATCTTTGTGTAACCACCAAACTGGAAGAGTTTCTATAGATTAACAATGAATTCAACACTGTATTTTATAAACACAGAAACAGGGACTCAGTGAAATGAAATGACTTGCTTAAGGCTGCTCAAGGGATAGACAGAGAAGGGAGGATTGAATTTAGAGCGCTCAATTTCTAGACCAGTATTCCCTCTACTGTGACATGCTACTCCTTAAGCCTGAGACAATGGAGTGGCAGGTGCAGTCTGCCATGTTGCATAACTGGAATCCCCAATCACTTTTCCTAGCAGGATGTTGCAAAGCTGCTTCTCTAATTGTGGGGTTGTGATATGTTCTGACATACAACATCAATGTTGGGCATGAGTTCAGAAATTTGGGAAGGGTAGGGGTCCAGAATTCTTTTCTGGACCAGCAATCTCTGAGTCACAAGGAGAAAAGCTGTGAACCTAGAAGGCCTGCAGTCCTGAGAAGCCAGCTGTCTTCCCAGGTGAACATATTTATATTCTAGTGCTGTTTATTTGCGTGACGGGGAGAAAATAACATTTGTTAGTAAACCATGTGTTAGAAGTTTTACCTCTATTGTCACATTTAGCCCTTACTACTCCCCATTCTGATGAGGATGCTGAGGTTCAGAGCTCAGAAGTCAAATACTCCCCACAAGGAAGGCATGTGAGATTGCAGAGCGCCCCCTAGTGGATGTGAGGCAGAACCCAGCCACCCAAATGTGCGACATCCCTGGTGGTGTCTAGTCCTGGAAACCCTTGTGCCGTCTCTGGCAGTGATGAGTGTGGCTCTCAGGCCACTGTTCCTTCTGTTATCCTCATTCTTTTCTGATGGTAAGAGTATGCAAAAAAAGGACAAGCTTTCCTATTGTTTGTCCCCTTCAGTTTTGTTTCTGCTCCATCCTGTCCTGTGGGAAATGAATGAAACAGTGTGGAAACTCTTTCTGAATAAAGTTTGAGAAGTGGAGAGTGAAGAGCTCCCTCAATAAGCTGCTGTGAAAGTTACACTGCCTGAAAAGGCTTCCAGCATCAGAGATAACGTGGTGAATGAAAACCATGACAAAACAGAACTCAACACAGTTGAGACTATGACACGCTGGTGGTATCTAGTCCTGGAAACTCTAGTGCCATCTCTGGCAGTAATAATATATATATATTAAAACTCTGGGGCTGGGATGCGCAGCTCATTGGTAGAGCACTTGCCTAGCATGCACGAGGCCCTGGGTTTGATCCTCAGCACTACAAAACAAAAATAAACAAAGGTCTGTTGGAGAAAAGGGGTCTCTTGTGAATTGACAAAGCATTTCTTCTCAGGACTTACACCTAATGGAATTGTCCTAAAGTAACACTTTACTTCAGAACTTCTGATGCAAATAATAAGGAAAAAAAATCTGTTAGAGCTTAACCAACATCAAAGAAGAGTGGCTATAATCAATGCTCCTTAGAAAGTTAGGGGAAATTGAACACATTAGTCACAGCTTGTACTTCTGACTTCGTGGTTTTTTTTTTTTTTTTTTTTTTTTTTTTTTGTGGTGCTGGGGATTGAACCCAGGACCTCACACATGCTACATTAGCTCTCTACCACTGCTCTACCACTGTTCACATTGGGCAAGTTATTTTACCTATTTGAGCCTCAACTTTATTATTTTTAAAATGAGGATAATTCCCATCCATGAGTTAAGAAGGGAAGTAACCTGTTCCAAAGAGTGCACATGACAAATGAGAAGACAGAGACACTCGGTGAGTTCCCCTCTCTTGGTTAGTTTGAAGTAATGCAACATCATCACAATCGGCACTACTCCACCCTCTACCAATCTCCAGAGACCCAGGCCATCTTGACTCTTGGCTTCACCTGCAGTTCTATATGGAAGGTTTACCAATGTGACGTAGTTGATTACAAAGTACATTTAATTTGTGAGTTTAAACTCGGGTGCCTTGATTTTGGAATTCATGACTACCTTCGGCAGCCCCAGTCCAAAGTCACTTGAAGTTTTTCTCTTTCTCCCTCCCTTCCTCCCTTCCTTCTTTTCTTTTTGAGACTATGTTGCCTAAGCTGGCCTTGAACTCCTGGGCTCAAGCAATTCACCTACCTCAGCCTCCTCCAGTTGGGACTACAGGCTCACACCAACTACACACTGCTTTTGAAATTATGACATTGAAATCTCCCGTCCACCGCTCCATCTCCCCCAGTCTGTCAGGTCATCTTTGCACTCTTGGGTCATGTACAACATTCGCACCCCACAGTGACTTAGCGTACACTTTTCACAATGATCTTATTAATTTTTACAACAACCTCATGTGGTCTATACCATTATTCTCCACACTTTACTCACAAGGAAAGTAAAGCCCAGAGAAGTTAAATACCTTGTTCAAGAACACATGACCAGTAGGTAGGGAAGCTGGACCTTGAACCCAGGTAGCACAGCTCTGTCTACAATTCTCAACAG